AAAAAAAACGCAAGAAGCTTTTTATTCTAAGATCCTGCAGGGTTGTTTGGTAAGACAGGCACAAATATGGTAAAAGAATGGACATGTATTACTCAAAGAAGCTAAATTGTCAGCAACAAAACCACTCGGACATTTTTTGTGTGTGTGGGGGGGGCCACTGTGGTTGCCGGGTCTGCGTCCAATGTAACGGTCGGAATGGGGCAAAAGTCCAATGAATTGAGGGAAGGGAGTTAGGTTGAGAAAGTGAAGGGTTGAAGGGTGAGGTCTTTGTGTCAGAGCTTGTTTAGTGTGCATCTGTTCCTTCCTTGTATATGAAGCCTTTGGTGAGAGTCCAGAAGTCCAGAAAGAGGAAAGAGTCCCATGTTCGGACTGGGTTGCTTAACTTGCAGTTTACCGCTTCTAGGAAAAGGATGAGAGCAAAGAAAACATTGTTCAGCTTAGAGTCATCACAAGAAAATTTGGAATACACGAGACTAAAAACTTCCCAGCGTAAGTCATTTGATAGATAATCAAAGTCCGCGGACTTTTCTTTTTCGTCTGTTCATAATGGGTCTTGAAAATGATTCTTTAACTTATAGATTACAGGAGCTGATAAAGATGCAAGCTCTTTTCTCATTCTTTTTTTTAGCTTTCACTCAAATCCGCTGAAGTTACTCATCGCCATTCACCCAACAAGAATGGGAATGATTTAGCTTGATCTTTTATCCAAAACTGACTAGAAACGTTATGAAATAGAAAGGAGAAAGCTACAGTTTGGTGTCTTGGAAAGAAAGGCTCCGACAGCTTCACAGTGTGAACACAAGTTCTGCAAGACCATAGAAAGTGAGCATAACTGTCAGTGCATCAATTAAATTGATTTTCGAACTCCTAAATCAACAAGAACTGAGAAAGATAGATGCCCTTTTCTTCTTTCTTCCAAAACTTCGCCAAGATCAATCTATGACAGCAATGCAACAAGATTAGAAACCACACAGCAATGATCTTTCATCTATGACCCATCAAAAAAAGCAATAAAGAACCAGAATGATGCTCTGATAAGGCCTAGACATGGGCATGTACTGGAATAATGTATCATCATCAAACAATCCCCCTAGACCTAACACTTTTCTAAGCATGCATGTGTGTAGGTCTCAGGTAGATTGAGTTTCAATTGAGTCCATATCAATGTGATTTTGATTCTGCAACAAGGAACCACCAAGGCTCAAAGATTGCAGCGTGAGGTCCCATTTGGTGGGAAAAAGAAGGCTCCTATGGTTCTTGTTGGTTATGTCAGAGTTTGTGGCCCTTTATTTACATCTACTTTGAACAGTCTTTTCAGTGCCCTCTTCACCATCCAATCCGCTCAACTGCCAAAATATTATGAAATTGTGATGATTCAGCCGTGGCTTTCAAAGCTGGTGAAAAATACTTGTTAAAGGCACACAGGTGTGTGTGTGTCTAGGCCAGTTCCTTTTAAAAGAAAAAAAAAATTCAAGTGAGACATTAGATGACGCGAAGGCATTGGGTGACTACATTGCTCTGGATGGTTGGAGGGTGCTTAGGTCGAGCTTAATCGTCCTCACAGTTATGTGAAACGATCCGTTTAACTCACTTAAAAAAGGTCGAAATCATCTCATCAAGCTCCACCGCGAGTTATTTATGTCAAGATTGAACGCGACTCATGCCTCCTAAAATAAAACCATTTGAGGTCGAGGTTGAATAAGCACATCAACATCTCCAGACCAGCATGGGACTACCTACACATACATGAGAGTTATCATGTATTGTGGTGACCACAGAACGTAAAAGGAAAAAGAACAAGTATTGTATTGCCAAGGCCCATCGCGCCATGAGTTCATGGGAATAGTCAATTAATAGGTGAGTCCATGGCCATAATGTCAGAGGATGTGGCTAGTTCATCACCAAGAGTTAGCTGGGCATTTTCCTTTTAGTTATTTCCGCACAGCCTTGAGGGTGACACACCACACAAACAGTTTGATCCTTCAAAGGTTTGCAAAATACCAAGATGGTATTTTATTAACTGTCACAAATTCTGCAGAGAAGCATTGGACCAGCTGAGACTCTGACCAAGTGGAGAGAGAGAGAGAGAGAGAGAGAGAGTTTGGGTCCACACGGGTTATTTTGACACCTAAAAGGCCATGTGAGCTGGGAGGCCACCAGCTGTAATGTGTCTAATTGTGGGTGGGTCTCCCCCTCCCTCACATCACTTTCCAACTCTCCCTCCCCTCTTAAGTAAATAAAGTTCTCTACGACATGTAACCTTCACTCATTTAAAGAATACCTTAACGCGATCTCATCGTTTGATACTTACATAGTCATATAGCCATATTCGATACGACGTTTATGAATCGGGAAAATCAAGAACATCCAGATAAATTAGAATCGCGTCGACGTGTTGCTTGATATAAGCGCGGTATACATTTCGCTTCTCTCTCCGAGTCGAGTCCATTTCGTTTCTTTTCCTTTTCCTTTTCCCGAATTGCCATTGCCGTGACCCTCCACCACGAGCCAGAAAGTTCCAAAGCAGAGAAACCGGATGATCACGCCCCCTTTTCCGTATAGCGTTTTGGACTTTTCTTCTCTTGGTTTTGCTTGTGTGATATGGAAACGTGACCTGAATTCTACACCTGTGACTAGATAGTGCCATTTCAAAGGGTGGGAAGGCGAGCTGGGGAGAGTTTGATTATAGTGGTAACGTGAGAGTTAGGGTAAACTCTCTATCATGAATAGGAGAAGGAAGAGAACTTTATTCTTCCTTACTCGATACGAGCTCTTCAACAGCTTTCTGGTGCAATTCTACATCTGTAATTCTTCATGAGCTACTTTCTTTTTTTTAGTTCTGATATCATGGAGTTATCTAAACATTAAGATAAAAGTGAATCCTTCCGAATCTCATAATTTTAACTAATTATATTGAATATATACAGAAATAAAAAAATCCCATAATGCTTAAACCGATAAACAACGCACAGAACCCTCGCACTTTCGAATGTGAAAGTGAATAGCAAGTTAATCATTCTATGGCTCTGTGGTAGATTTGGTCATATTTATGCGATGCTGAAAATGGGAAAGTATTCGATCCATAAGCATTGAATTGTTCAACGCACGTCGCATCCGCTTATGTTCAATTGCCAACTACAAATGTTGTAAATCACCGCAAGAAACTTCGAGCGGCGAGCGTTGTTCGAAAAGTTTGTGTGGAAACGAAATAGTAGTTGAATCCATATTAGTGTATATTAGGGTTAAGACACTTGTGTAGCGGGCGATCATAATCGGGTAATTATGAACAAAAAGGAAATGAAGAATTATGTACCAAAGGTGCACATAGGAGAGAGAGGGAGAGAGAGAGAGAGAGAGAGGTGAGAAGAGACAAAAGAAAGTGAATTGGCTGTTGAATAAACCGATGGATACAAGAGAGGGAAAATGAAGGGTAATTTAAGAAATCTAGAAATGAGATAAAAGAGGGACTTTGGTCTAGGTCAAAATATATAAGATATATCAAGGAAAATAAATAAATAGTTAAATTATATATAGGTGGGGAAATATATATATAGATATATGTAGGGTCAAACTATATATATATAAATATATATATTATATAGGGTCAAAATATAGGGAGGAGAGAAGCCATAAAAGAGCAAGCATTTAAGGGTGGGGAGGGAAGGAAATAATGAGATGTGGTTAAATGATGACAAAGTGGCCGCCTCGTGCCGGGCAAAACCTCCAGGCACGTGGCTCCGATTCCCTCGTCACGTGGCTTCGTGGGCCCCCCTGCCCCCCTCCCTCTCTCTCCCTCTCTCTACTTTCTTCGTAACAATATACACCTCAATGTACGTACGCGTGTCCCTACTCTTCCTCCTCAATACGTGACGATGCCCAAGAGGGTATTCTCGTATTTTCCCATTGGAAGCTTCCTTTATGCTTAGAATAGAAAATCCAGCACCCCGGGAAAATAGAAGATGAGAAGGGGAGGGAGAGGAAGTGGGTCATGTTCTCTGATAAGAGTTTGCCACATCAATTAGCGATGCCGATTTTTGTAAACGCTTTGCGCTTAGATAGTTGTCGCCTCGCACGTACCCATGTTACCAATTGAGATTCTCCTTAAATTACTGTCCTCTATTTAATTTTCTCGGGCAGAACGTGGTAAGATTGATTTCTAAAAGACAATGATACGGTTTGGCGATAAAAAGAATATCCAGACGTAACAAATGCTCGTAAAAGAACACATCCTCTATTACCCCATAACACGATATCATGCCGATATGTCATGTACGAGAGTTACTCGATTTGCATGTTTTTTTCTTTTATTAAAAGGGCTGATAGGGACGAGCCAGAGTCAGTGACTCGTCTGGGCATTATCAGAGAGAGTCAACATTCGATCCGAGCCATTAACTGCTCCCTCGCCGGCGATTCGGAGTCCCGAGGCCGGCGAGCCCGTCGCCGTACCCCGAAGACGCCGGAGGTCGGGGAAATCTCTCTACCCGAGAAAAGCGGGAGGAGAGAGAGAGAGAGAGGAGGGCAAAACGGGAAGGAGTGGCGTGGAAGCATGTGTCCTTTGTGTTTTTCCTTCACTCTCTCTCTCTCTCTCTCGTTTGGTGTTTTGGGAGTTGGCGCAAGCAAAGCAAAGCAAGCAAAGGGCCTCTCTAACTGTCACGTCCGGTGGTGGTGGTGGTGGTGGTGGTGTAATGCAAAAAATGCAGTGAAGGCTAAGGCAGCATCATAGGAGTTCCGCTCTGCTCTACTGGTTGCTGTCCTTTGCCTGTTACTCTCTCTCTTCTCTCTCTACGTCCTCTTCTACTTTCTCTCTCCTACTTCACCCTCCAACTACCCCTCCCTCCTCTCTCTCTCTCTCTCTACCAGTGCCAACACACATGCACACAAGACGCTCCCTTTCCTTCTAAAATCCTCCTCCTGTCTCCTCCTCCTGCCTCCTCCGTCGCTCCTCCTCCTGCATCCCACCTCCCACCTCGCTCTGACCCCTTTAACAAGCAGCTGCTCCTCCTGCTCCCTCCTGCGCGGCGTCGCGGCCGATCCCTTCGCCGTCGCCGGAGCTCCGGTTTTTTCTGGGCCCGATCCGCCGCGTCTCTCCGGCTGAACCGTGCGAGCTGCTGCTGCTGCCGCTCTGTTCTTCTCCTCCTTCTCCTCCTTCTCCGGGCCGGTGGCGATGGAAGCTGGCGGCGGCGGCGGCGGCGGGGAGGACTGCTGCGTGAAAGTGGCGGTCCACATCAGGCCCCTCATCGGCGACGAGAAGCTCCAGGGTTGCAAGGATTGCGTCACGCTCGTTCCCGGGAAGCCTCAGGTACGTTCGCTCCGAATGCGGAACCTCGCTCCGGTGAATTCGGACCGGAAATGTCGGCGGGAAAAACGTAAAAGGGGGTCCCGTCGTCGGGTGCGTAATCAAGTTTGACTGTTTGCTGGGCTGTCGGACGATCATGTGTGTCTGAGAGATCTGGATCTCAGAATGCCTGCGGTGATTGCGAGTAGTGTTCTCCTTTTTTTTTTACACGTATGTTTTCTTTGAGAGGTTCTTGGGTCTTCTTGGATTGGACTCGTCTGCTGTTCAAGAGGACCGTGACGTAATAGTCTGATTTAGGAGGATGGGTCTGACATATTCATGGAAACTCTTCTTGTTTTTTTCCTTGACTAGGTTTTCTTCTTCTTTTTCCAAGTGGTTTGGTAAAATACTAAACTAGACTGGGAAATTTTCTTTGTTCTTTAATCATTTTCATGCATCGTCATTACGCTTTGGGTGGTTCGGTGAATCTTCCCGATTCATCTCAGGAGCTGATTGTTGCCACTTGAAGTTCCCCTTGTGCTTCTTCTGTATTTTCTTCACCCGAAAAGGTTGGGACTTTGGGAGAGTCGCATAAGTCCAAGCAAAGCGCTGCTTTCTAACTTTTTGTCTTTAATTTTTTTCTCCCTTTGGTTTGACGACGATGAATCCCACTTCTTAGTCGGCTAAATGTTTTCTGGGTCGAACTGATTAAATGATGGTGGGAAATGCCCAGCAAGAATAAACAGAGTTACGGAAGGGAGGAATTCTTCCATTGTCGCTGTTGCCATCTGGTTTCTTTCCCAGTGGCATCAGAATTTGCGGTGGAGTTTCTGGAGGGTCTTGAGTGTTGCATCCGCAAGAGAAACATCTACTTATTGGAACGACCTAGCCAACATCAATTTTTTTTTTTGGTCGGAAGCCAACTGCAATTGATGATGAAGTTTTCTCACATCCTAGAATTGTTGTGGACTTGCTCAACTCTGCTTCTTTTCTAGAGTACCTTTTTTGTTTCTTTTGTTGCTTTGAGAGGTGGAAGGGTGTTCCAAAGTTTCAGACAAATGTTTGGTAGTCGTGTCTTTTGAAAAAATTGATCATTCAAACAATTTGGATGTTGGACAAGATTTACAATGACCCGTGAATTCATGCTGCAACATAAAAATCAGGAATTGTTGTAGCAATCCTGTTCTCATTTTGCTACTTATACTCTAATCATGGTAGCAAAGCATTTTTACAGTAACATTTTTCCTATTAATTTCACTATTGTTTATAAGTATCAAAAACTTTTCTCATTGTAAATACTTGGTTTTGAAAGATAGCTATCACCTCTGGACAACTAGAATGCCCCTCTGGATTTTTGTTCTTTATTGATCTATTTGACGGTCATGGGAAATTCTGCAAGAAGAAGCAACGTGGGGAAATTGAAAATAGCAGTCACAGAATTCTGAACATTGTTATTGGTGGGTGCAGGTACAAATTGGTACACATTCCTTCACGTTTGATCATGTGTATGGGAGCACTGGAACTCCTTCATCTTCAATGTTTGAAGAATGTGTTGCGCCTCTTGTCGAGGGCCTCTTCCAAGGATATAATGCCACTGTTCTGGCTTATGGCCAGGTGGGTTTGTTGTTGTTAAATGGAGCTCATGTTCGGCCTATATAGTCTCCTCTTATTTTTGCTTATATTTGTGTGTTCTGCGCATGGCAGACTGGTTCCGGTAAAACTTACACGATGGGTACTGGTTTAAAAGATGGTAGCCAGACAGGTCTGATTCCCCTGGTTATGAATTCTTTATTCAGCAAGATAGAAGCTCTGAAACAACAAACAGAGTTCCAATTGCACGTTTCCTTCATCGAGGTTAGCTATTTTTCCCTTTTGCAACATCGAAAATATTATCTGTCCCAGTGCTGTACATAACTCTAATGTCTTTTTAACTTGAGCCAATCTTCTGATAGAAACTGTATTTTGTGGAAATGGAACCATGTACGTTTTCTTTTTACAAGTGATAATCATTTACAAAGAGAAGGGCAAAGGTCAATGGAACCATGTGCCAATGTCTGGTTCCAGGATTGACAATTTTTCTGTTGCTTAAGTGCCATAACAGAAGGGCCATCTGATGCAAAATCTAGATTTCACTGGAGCAATGATACAATGGCTATCTTTTTCTTTTTTTGGCCCATTGAACATTACAAAGTGTGCTACATTAACGGCAAGAAGTACCACATTTTCCAAGTGGCTGATATCAGATTGCCATTCTCTTCCTCAAACTTCATCGTGTTTCACTTTTTCTTATTTCCTAGTCTTTCCCTAAAGGGCCTTTTTTTGGTCCATTCCTTCTACAGATATAAGCTATTCTATTACATTCTAGCACTATGGGCTCAATCACTCTTCTATGAGCATTCCATAAAATAATTATTGTTGAATGATGTATGAGTCGTTTTATGATACTTGACTCATCCTTTGTGCATTGATTTTATACAGCACTTGCAAGTATCTGTTGTCCTGTAACTTTTTTTAAGATTTGCTTTACAATGAGATGTCTTCTTTTGTGAAAGATTTTGAAAGAAGAAGTTCAAGATTTGCTGGATCCGACTTGTTTGAGCAAATCAGAGAATGCAAATGGCCATACTGGGAAAGTACCTATTCCAGGAAGACCTCCCATCCAGATTCGTGAATCATCGAATGGTGTTATAACATTGGCAGGATCTACAGAAGTTAGCGTTAGTTCTCTAAAAGAGATGGTTGCCTGCCTTGAACAGGGTTCACTGAGCCGGGCTACTGGAAGTACAAACATGAACAATCAGTCCAGGTTGGTGAAGCTTTTATTTTCTCTCTTTCAATGTGATGAAACGTAATTTAGGTGCAATTGAGGTAGGAAACATAGCATTTATCTGAAGCAATCTCATCCACTGGCGTCAGGCGTCATGCACCATTAGCTGGTAAACTAAGCCTCTTAAATTTTGTCCAAGTGCACAAGCAGACAATTCACATACTCATGGTTCATGCTCAGATGTATTTGCTACATTCTCCTTTGTTGGTGTGGCCTATCTGCTGATAATTCTTTTTGGCGTATCTCATTTGCAATTTGATCCCAATATAAATACATAAAAAAGCTGAGTGGTTATATGATATGGAGACTGTTCCTCATGGACAAAACTTTATGAGCACGGGGCTGAGTTATTTTCTCAAAAAAAGCATGCTTTTTTCGCACTGTGAGTTCACCTGCTGAAAGAGGAGCAAATGAAGCAGCTCTATGGACTGTACTGTGATTGCACAACTTGTATGACTCACAAAGACGCATACACGTATACTGAATTCTCTATCTGATGCAAGTTCACCTTTAAAATGTCATTGTGCTTCCCATAGGCCATATAAGTCAGTGAAGTCCTTTCATATGCATCAAACAATGTGAGAAACCAAATGCTGAGTAGCACAATTTTTCTGCTGTAGCTACTCATCTTAATACTAGAAACCCTTGTAATAGACTTTGGGGCTAAATCTTGAAGAATCATGTGAATATATAGTGAAATTTCCATACCATGTTCTAGACGAGTCTTATTATTGATTCTGTCTATGTAGCCGTTCGCATGCCATCTTCACCATAACATTAGAGCAGATGCGTAGGCTCAATCCACTCTTTCCTGGCGATAGCAGTCCTGAGAATTTAAATGACGAATACCTATGTGCCAAATTGCATCTAGTTGATCTTGCTGGATCAGAGCGAGCTAAGCGAACAGGTTCTGATGGTTTGCGATTCAAAGAAGGTAAATTAGCGTGCATCTTTCTTTGTTAAATGATCTGCGTACTCAAATGGTAATCAAATTCATTTTTATTTTTTGATAGGAGTGCACATCAACAGGGGCCTTCTTGCACTTGGTAATGTGATCAGTGCTCTTGGTGATGAGAAGAAGCGGAAAGAAGGTGTTCATGTGCCTTACAGGGACAGTAAACTAACTAGGCTTTTACAGGTTGAGACTTATGAAGAATTATCCTTATCATATGCTAATCTAATGGAACAGTGTTGACTTAATTAGCGGTATCATCTAGCTGAAAAGTGTGCACTATTTGGAAGATTAAGCAACTATTATTGCGATTTTCTTTTCATCTTTAGTAACAATAATGACAAGATGACGTCTGTGTGTTCCTAGAAACTAATGGCTGCGAAGTTTTTATTTGCACCCTTTTAGCTTCATATTTTTTACCTTATTTTGTATTGAGTACCGAGTATAAGCCTATTTTGTACCTACACTGACTTTGTTTACATATCAGGATTCACTTGGCGGCAATAGTAGAACAGTGATGATAGGTAAGGCAGAAAAATCTTCCTTATGCTTTCTGCGTACTTCGATACATACTTATGGAGCCTGTGATGCTGCTAGATATGGCTTTAGTTTTGTTGATGCCAATGCTTGTTGGCACATGAGTACAATACTTTGGCATAACTTTTGTCTTCGTGTGTGAGAAGAAAATGCATATCACTCATTTTTCATACCTGTATGAATGTGTTTATGGTACCATAGTTGTTTTTTTGAGCTTATCCTCGTAATTTTATCCTATAAGAATTTCCTTAACGTTTTTCTTTCATGCCCCCTAAATTTGTTTTCATTTTTCAGCCTGCATCAGCCCTGCTGATATTAATGCTGAAGAAACGCTTAATACTTTGAAGTATGCAAATCGTGCTCGGAATATTCAAAACAAGCCAGTTGTAAGTTTCTGAGAAGTAGTTTGCTTTGATTCTTTTTTGCTTTTTCATATGTGGCTGAACATTCTATACATGGTGAAAGTACCATAAGAACGTCTTCTTTTTCTAAAAAGGTTAATAGAGATCCCATGTCAAATGAGATGCTAAAGATGCGCCAACAACTAGAGTATTTGCAAGCAGAACTTTGTGCCCGTGGTGGGCCTTCATCAAATGAAGTGCAGGTATTACAATTTTATGCAAGTCATTTTCTCCATGTACAGCAAAGGCTTAAGTGGCCAATTTATTGTTTAATCCTTATACACTTGCATTAATTAGTTACAGAACTCTTGAGCTCATTGTGAAATAATTCTGTTGGTATCTTGCTTTGTGATATTGCAGTTTTTCTTTGACCTAACCAGTCATAATAATTTTTCCTCATAGGCTCTCAAGGAAAGAATTGCTTGGCTTGAAGCGGCTAATGAGGATCTTTGTCGAGAACTACATGAATTCCGAAGCAGATGCTCTTCTGTGGAGTGCTGTGAAACAGATTCCCAGGTATGATATTAACATGCGTCAGGAATATTTTAGTGCTAAAAAAGTTCACTGCTTCAGCCCTTTTAATGGAGGTGAGTCTCTATTCAATGATAAATCTATCCATTGTAACATGAAGATCGTGGCTCAACCACCAAAAGCTTCCTTACAATGCAGCATCAAAGCTGCATACCTTTCTGCCACCTTTCCAAGTCCTTGCATCTTGGGGGCTTTGATTCGGATGCCCTTTTGTCCATTTAATCTCCACCCAATTGTCAAACTACGCTCCTTTTTCCAGTGCTAGCTGGACTTGGTTTATCCTGTAACAGAATTTGTTAAGATATCACATGCACAATTCTGCATGCTTCCGCATTTGTGAACCGGAGACATTTCTTGTAGGATGATACGTGCTCTGTGAAAAGTGATGGGCTTAAAAGAGGATTGCAAAGCATGGAGTCATGTGATTTCCAAATGGGTGAAACCGTGAGCAGTATGACCCATCCTCTCTAGTACTTTCATTTTCTGTTTATCACATCATCTCCTTTCTCATGTTACCTTGCACTCCCTTTGTGTATATCTTCATTTACCCTTCCCCATTTCAAATTATAGCTGGTGATTCCAGAGATATAGATGAAGTCACGAAAGAGTGGGAACACACTCTTCTGCAAAACTCCATGGACAAAGAGCTACATGAGTTGAATAAACGCTTAGAGGAGAAGGAGGTACGATGGACTTTCCATATTTCTGACATTTATGTTGGCTGCAGGTTAATGGCTTATTGATATTTGCTATTTTTGGACAGTCCACTCTTTTGCTTGAAATTTCTTGATTGATAAACATTCTTCCAATGGCCTCCCAAAGTAGCAAGACCTTTTTATTTTCCTAATGAGGAGATCACAGATTCTTATATTTAATGTTCTGAATATTTACGATTCTCCAGAAGGAACAGCGGGGATTGTTTAAAGAAACATATAGATGATTATCTCTGAGTTTCTTCTTACTAGCAATATTAATAGCTCTGATTTGCTTCTTATTAGCTCTGCTGTTTGCTTTAGCTGGCATACGAAAAAGAGTTATCTCAGGATTTTGTTATTTGACGCTGCCCTACCAGTTTAACCGACCTTTTGCTTAATGACTCTGTAGTCGGTACACCCCTAGTGATGGTGTTTTAATCTTGTAAGACAGTATGTTGGTGAATATATCATTGTGTTTTACTCATAGAAAAGGGAAGAAAGGAAGAATCCATCAGCCAGTCTTTTTGACTTTTTTCCCGCATTATTTCTTTTTCCTCTCTTCCTCAGTATGCAAGCATTATAGCTTTTGACTTATCTTCTGTATTTTTTAAACTGCGTATGAACAGTCAGAGATGAAACTTTTTGGAGGCTTGGATACTGTAGCACTCAAGCAACACTTCGGCAAGAAAATCATGGAGTTGGAGGATGAAAAAAGAACTGTGCAGGTAGAATACAGTCTCTTCAGTTTATACACGTTGCTCATTGTAGAAGAGTTAAGTTTAATGTATGTTTATTTTCGTGTATGTCGAGTGCAGCAAGAGAGAGATCGCTTGTTGGCTGAAGTTGAGAACCTGGCTGCTAATTCTGATGGACACACCCAAAAGATGCAGGATATCCATGCTCAGAAACTGAAGACGCTTGAAGCTCAGGTGATGATGTAAAATTGATCATACGTTACTTTGTGTGGTGGACGCGAAAAAAGGGTGCCTTCTCAAGATGATAAATTTTTATTGACTGCCCATGTGCGACAGATTTCTGATCTCAAGAAGAAACAAGAGAATCAGGTTCAGCTTTTAAAGCAAAAACAAAAAAGTGATGAAGCAGCAAAGAGATTGCAGGAAGAAATTCAATCTATAAAGGCACAAAAGGTTGGAACATCACTTGGTCTTCTACGACTCTGAAGTCCATGACGTCATCATTTTCTAACTTTGTTTCTATCTGTTAGGTTCAACTCCAACATAGAATGAAACAAGAAGCTGAACAGTTTCGACAGTGGAAGGCCTCTCGGGAGAAGGAACTGCTGCAGGTATGCATGTCCTGTCTCTGTTGTCCTTTGCTTCTACTGCCATTGATTAATCTTTCCTTTTCTTTGACATAACAGAAAAAGAAATAAATTTAGGCAATATATCATAGTGTATATCTAACTTTAATGAGGCAATGTACAACTAAAAAAGTAACAGGTCTGAGGGGTTCTCTTATTTCAGTCTTCCCTAGCCTAAAGTGAATGGAGACTCTTAATTTATCATTTACTTTTCATGCCATAAATGACACCCTTTTATTTTTATGAGACCTTTCCTTCAGTGCTTATTCAATATCTTGCTTTGCAAAGTTACCCAACCATGATCGAGCAAGCTTGTAGAAATAATCGACAGCATCACCAATTGCTTATTAAGTCTATAACTTACAAGGCCATCAATCAATTGGCTTTCCGTTTGAATTAGGTGGGATTTATAAATAGAGGGAATAATACTCTGTAGATCTTACATACTATTACGATGGGAAGACAAATGCCGACATGTAGGTGTACCTTCCATTGAAGTGTACAGTTGCAGTGAAGCACTTGTAGAAAATATCCACAAAATTAATTCATTTTGCACTGCAGTTGAAATAGTTTTGCTTTTAGAGTTAGATGCATAACTTTGTGACATATTTATTCCTCGGTCTATTTTAATTATTTTGTTCCTGAAAGGACAAATGATCTGTTTGCGTCGTCTTTGCAGACTATTTTAGCATGCTCTAATAATGTTTTGTTTTTTGGAATTTTTTTTCTGTTGACATTCTCCATTTGTGTGAGCAGTTGCGAAAGGAGGGGAGGAGGAATGAATATGAAAGGCATAAATTGCAAGCTCTAAATCAACGTCAGAAAATGGTATTCTCATACCATGCTCATCATTTTTTGATCAAGTCCAATAGTTTCGATTGTAGTTACGAAAATGATTATGCCCGAGATGCAGATCATATTTAGCATTTAACATGGCATGCAGCTATATACATTTCAATATTGTTAATTCAGTGGGCAGTCTATTTGAGGAAATCAATGTGCGCTTTATTATATGCGAGAAGATGCTGCTTTGAGTGTTGCTGCATCCACTAATATTTTGATATAATTTTATGGCTATGACAGTAGGAAGCCTTATCCACCAAAAGAAAAAAAGTAAGCAGCATTGCAAAACCTATCAATATCTTGCTGACCATCATGTTTAGTAGGCTAAATACAATCTGCAAACTTCAGTATGGTCTTTTTGCTCCTTCTTTTTAGTTGTGCAAATGACTTGCAAGTCGATGATATCTGACAGCTGGCAATCAAATGTAAACTCCATTAATTTGCTTATGCTGACATGTGAAAAATATTGAGAGGATGAAACTTGGAATCTTTGTTCGTCTTTTCACTTGAAGGAAATTTTTGTCCCAGGTTCTTCAAAGAAAGACAGAAGAGGCTGCAATGGCCACCAAGAGGCTAAAAGAGTTACTGGAAGCTCGCAAATCTTCTGCTCGTGACAACTCAGGTATGATGTACATTGTATCCTTGTGAGAATTTTAGCAGAAATTACTGATTGTTTTTATACAAGGTCCATTTCATAGATCATGAATACTATCCACCGTTTAAATGCATATCAATTTGCACATGAATTCACTGTATCTGAAGGCTTCACTTAGAATCAGGGATCTTTCTTTCTGCCTTCTAATTCATTTTTGATGCTGTATTCCAGTTATGGGCAGTGCCAACGGAATAAATGGGCAGGTAGTGGTCTCGTTCCCTGTTATTTTTTCCCCCAACGTTCATTTATGATTTTCTGTTATTGAAGTTAATCCGAAAAGTATTGAATCTTCAGAACAATGAGAAGTCCTTACAACGCTGGCTTGACCATGAGCTTGAAGTAATGGTGAATGTCCATGAAGTACGATTTGAATACGAGAAGCAAAGTCAAGTGTAAGTCACTTATTCAGAAAGGAACTTTGATGCTAGCTGCAGTGTTTTGATAGCTTTATCAATGCATTGGTTCAATGTAGGCGAGCTGCACTGGCAGAAGAGTTGTCTCTCCTCAAGCAAGTGAATGAATTTGCTTCAAAGGGGCTTAGCCCTCCAAGAGGAAAGAATGGCTTTGCAAGGTAAGTGGAAGTGATTCATGAGAACTTTCAGGAATGCCAGTTGTCATGCCTGTGTGTACATATTAAATGTTTTTACATTGCTTTTACTTTCCAGAGCTTCCTCCATGTCACCAAATGCAAGAATGGCCAGAATATCTTCCCTTGAGAGTATGCTAAGCATATCGTCCAACTCACTCGTAGCCATGGCATCACAGCTTTCAGAGGCAGAAGAGCGGGAACGTGGCTTCACTAATCGTGGCCGTTGGAACCAGTTGCGTTCAATGGGAGATGCAAAGAACTTGCTTCAATATATGTTCAGTTCTCTTGCCGATACAAGGTACTTCTCTTGGCCCAGTTTGCTATTATCTGCAGAAATACTCTCATGTCCTTGCTTTAGTAGAAACATTACCCTGCTACTACTATCCAATCATACATAAGTGGACCTATATTACCGTCTTAGATATCTGTGAATGTGTACATGGCCAAAAGAGTAGTGAGCGCAACTGTTAGCAGACTAAGATGACAACACGGTACCATTCTCCATTCCAATAGTCAGTAAAGATCAGTGAAATTGATCGCTGGCCTTACCAATGTAATTATTTGAGAATGTGTTGTGACCGGTAATTTTGTCAGTTTCCATAATTAATTCCGACAATTTAAATTAACATCCTCAAGAATGGCACCTCTGCCTTTTCTTTTTGTCTTCAGGTGCCAATTATGGGAGAGGGACATGGAAATCAACGAAATGAAAGACCAACTGAAAGAACTCGTAGGTTTACTGCGGCAGAGTGAGTTACAAAGAAAAGAAGTTGAAAAGGAATTAAAATCGAGAGAGCAAGCTATTGCAATTGCACTGGCTACGTCGGCTTCGGTAAGTTTTCATCCAATGTCAAACTTTCTAATCTTTATGTAATTAAGATGGTGATGATGTTGGAAACAATCTCTGCCTTAATTCATGAAAAAATGTAGAAATTAGTTTTAAACTTTCAGCGTACAACTATGAACGAGAAACTTGTTCAATTTGGTCCTGGCAACATCGAATTCAAACAATGATTTCACTTTTACACATGCTACGTAGTTTCCAATTAGCCTTGTTCAAGTTCCAGTGTAGAGCTGTGGCTTGATATCTTTTCTCTGGTGCCAATTTGTTAGACTCTGTTAACTCTTTGAACTTGGCATTGACAGGAAAACTCTCCTAATTCACTGAAACACTTCTCCGATGAGGCAAGTGGTCCTCTATCTCCGATCTCTCTACCTGCACAGAAGCAGCTCAAATATACCCCTGGGATTGTAAATGGCTCAATCCGGGAATCAGCTGCATTTATAGATCAGACACGAAAGGTCAATATCTTCTGGTTTTTCTGTTATCTGCCTTGTAACTTACTTAACAGTTTGATGTTCCTATCCCAACTTGCTTAACAGTTTGATGTCCATACTGCTGCAGATGGTTCCAATGGGACAATTGTCAATGAGAAAATTGGCAGTTGTTGGACAAGCTGGGAAGCTATGGAGATGGAAGAGGAGTCATCACCAGTGGCTCTTGCAATTCAAGTGGAAGTGGCAGAAGCCATGGAGACTTTCTGAATGGATTAGGCACAGTGATGAAACTGTCATGAGAGCAAGGCCTCGCCCACAAGCTCTACAAGATATGATGTGATACGATTGCAGTCACCAGCTATTGCCTGATCTTTTTTCCTTGGAACTTGCAGCATGCAGCATGTTGCATAGGGACATGTAGCAGGAGGTAATTTTTTTACGAGCATAATAAGCTTGGGGAAAGTAACTCAGTGAAATAGTTATCTGGAACCCATGGGACATGCTAGTTTAGTACCCAACTTTTGGTTTTGGCAAAAGTTTCACCTGGAGGTAGCTTTTAAATGGAAATATATGAGAAACTCGTTCTTTGACAGCAATTTCCTCTCAAGTTGCTAGATAGTTCATACGACTCCAGTGCTAGGGCTATGCAAGTACCAAATACATTCCTGTGGCATGTTCAGCTTCAATTGATATTATAGTGATTGTTCCTTGTAAAATTCTGAGAAAGTACAGACTTAGTTTCTCAGTTTATCAATTGCGGTTAGCATGGTCGCAGTTTAGCCACATGCCAATTGCCGCAAACGCCCTAATGCGTTCCTCTATTTTTGCAGTTGATGCTGGTTTTTGAGGATCTCTTGCTTATGACTGTATCTCGAACAAGTTGAAGTAGTACAAGCTGGTTTTGGAAGCTTGAAAGTTTTGCTGTTTCTTCATCAGGAGCATCTTGTACAGAAGGTTTGATGCTGCCGAACAGTTTCTAAGTTTACGAGGTAAAGAAGCAAGTAGACAGTAGCTGAAGATAACATCACCAATGGGAGGGCGACACCTAATTTTGGTGCTCCTTTCCCAGTCAATAACAGAAGTTGAGGGAATCGCTTTGGAGTCAGAAAGATGTATATTGAAAAGGTGTAAACTAGGTGTCCTTTTGTAGTGTTTTCGGCCAAGCCTGTTCTGTCCTCTTGTAGTGTTTGTGGCCAAGCCTGTTCATATGGTTTGACGTTTGTGTCTGTTGTTGTATTGATTGTAGATTGTAGCGTCCTCCAGCCATCGCAACGATACTGATATTCTTTCATACGTTTTTCTTGCTGTTCTCTTTTGACGTCTGTGTGTGGGGTGAGTGGACCATCTTGTAAACCTTTTCTTGTCCAGAAAGTGATGAATACTCTGTTAACCTGTTTGTCTTCAATAAGCAAGATTATCAGTTTATTTGTGTTCCGGATTCTACACTTGCATACTGTTTCACCAAACTTGCACCTTGCCATTTATCAGACACATGCGAAAGAAATAGAATATTACTGGCTTCAACTTTGTAGATGTGACAGCTTAAGTCCCATATCAAGTGAGAGATCATTTCGAGTGATTCATAAGTAAAATACAATCTAAAAGGAATAACTTCGTCACGCACGTAAAACGGGTCTTGTATCAACAAGACCTGTTGATACATTGGCCGTGCGACGTATACATTTTACCTTTTTCCTCACTGTATCATCACAATCTTTCTTTTGTGGTCCCATGGAATAATCATAGTTGGGTTGCCAAGATGTGACACAGCAGAGCCTGTTACAAACTCATTTGGCAAAAGCTGAAAATGACTACTTCCAGTCACTATAAAAGCTTAGAACCCATGCAAAACTGGATGGTAACGGTATTCCAAGATGGTAAGTAAACATTTTTCAATGTGCTGCATACCGTGGTGTACAGCCTAACCAAAATACGCTGACGCCCATCTGAAAGCTATGAAAGAGAGATCTCGCGGTATGACAAACCGGACAAATACAAACTCTGCATTGAGGAAGAAACTGTCCCCTCTTAATCCTATGTCCTTATTTCACAAACTTCCACTATTGTAATGCAGGAGCATAATTTTCTTAATTACTTCATCGGAACAAGTTGTATGAGCTTCGAGCTGATCCAGATTACGAGCACCCAATTGCCCACAAGGCGCCAAATGGCTTTTTCACAAGTTGCCATTGTCCGGCATCTAAGTCAAAATTTCTGGCATCTGATAGAAGTATGTAGCTAAACGAGCAAATCCATTAAAGGCTCAGGCAACTTCAACCAAGACAGTGTATGTGATCAAGCATCTGATCAACCACACCAATAGGCATAGTGCTCATCTCTACGGTGGTTACTAACAAGACCACCACACTGCAAGCAGATGAAACTGCTCCCGTCGGAAAAAGCATCCAGTACAACCTGATTCCTTCCAGTTTCTGCCAGTATGGAATTTCCATGACCATCTGGCTCGATCGATGGACCACTTGCAGTAACTGTTGGAGGGTTGGCCTCCAAAGGTTGTGCTTCGGCAATCGCACACTCGGCGAACAAGGAAGCCAGCTGTTCGACTGCAGAAGTTGATTGGAGTTTGCTTCTGTATAGCTCACGGGCACGCTGCAAGAATTCGATCACGGCCTGGTCCCCTCCTTTAGCCCTTGTTGCCATCACTACCTGTTTAGAGCACCAAATTAGCTCCAACCAATGAAGTGTTTTCTCCATCTCTTAGCATATCTTTCCCAACCTTGGTTTTGACAAACTATGTTCACATTATCCTCTCTTAACTATAAAAGGTAATAGTATCTCTTTATGGCTCAAACGGAAATTTATCACTTGCACTGAACACAATTATCAATTGGTGGCAGAGAAAGAGACATAGAAGTTGCTATACAGAAGACACAGACAGTAAAATCATAAAACGAAATTGACAACCAAGCATAGCTAAGGTCGGTGAAACTTCTCCCCGCTAAGCATGACCCAGAACATCACCATGAAAATAATCTTGCGCCATCATAAAGCATTCTCCACAATGCATCCGCTATTACTACATAAAGGGCCAAAGTACAGATGGAAGAGAAGCAATCAGCACTGCAATTTTTATTGTGTTTGGTCTGTGTTGTCCTAAATTTGGAGGATAGATGATGATTCAATAACGAGAGTATTACAGTCAATGTCTTTCTCAAACTGACTCATATGTACCAGCTTGCATCGACCGTTTCAATTCATGATAAAAGTCAGTTGAGTCTATTTCTTTTGCACCATCTTCTGCAATTCAGAGGGCAACAGCTCAGCCAAGTCAAAAACCACTACACTCTGTTAAGAAATATTCTCCAGAAATCTTCTTCTCAAGGTATTTTTTCCTTGTCCACATGCAAGTTCACTGGTTGACTCAAGGTCATTGAAGGCATAACTGAGAGTTGAATCGATTATGGCAAAGCAAAAGCACTTATTTGTCTGTTAAACTTACTACTTGGTCTCACTTTTCAACGAAAGTATTCCATTGAACTTCCTCTGGAACATGGAATTCTATTTTTCCAAAACCCATTGCCATTCTTCCTCCCTAAGCTTGTAAAAGGGACACTTACATCTCAATATGGGAGTGACATATTATGTTGTTCCCTAATCATTCCAAGGAAACAGAAGAGGTGGTACCCCGTATTCAAAGGAAGCATCCCATTTAGCTTCATATAGAGTGTTGCCGTTTGCAACATCAAAGCTTTTATGTGGAGTAAAATAACAAGAATTACCATTCCATTGGAGAGAGGCTGCTGAATACTAAACAAAGTGGTGACCCAAATTCTCTCCATACCTACATAAACAAACAGATACATTACACAGGTTGCTCAGGTTGCTTATGCGTTCTTTCTTTTTCCTCATATCCTAAGACTACTATATATCAGGGGTGATGTCACTCAAACCCAAAGCTAGCCAGTTCTCCCTTAAATGCATCGAGTAGCAGCAGTTGACTGACACTTATCAAACTTAACACCATTGGACTCGCCATAGATAATCCCATGGAATAGTGTGACCACGAGAGGTTCACAGCATCAAAATGCTTGACTCAATGTCCAATTTGGGCTTATGCAACTGTCAATGAGGTGTGCACCAGCCAAGAAGGCGAAAATTCGGGAGTTGGCAGCCCACTTAACGGGGTGCACCGGCCATCAATCACAATTAGCATCCATTCTACCCCATCAATGCATTTCACACCCAACACTTTACCATAATGTCAGCTACTGTACGGGCCAATCATCATGAATTAAAACCAAGACATACTCACAAACACGACTTGAACAATGAATTCAACAATTGAAATCCAACAAACTAATTCAAGCCCGGCAGTTTCCCAGAAAGAAGCACGGTAGGGAACCATGAACTAAAAGCTAAAAAGACAAGAAGGTCACCGCTTGGAGAGCCTGCGAGGGCTTGCCCTGATCAATGAGATGGCGTGCCATGGCCAGCAACTCCCACCCAGCGTCTCTTTCTTGCGTCTCCCTCTCGCTCTCCCCCATCTCCGTGTCTCCCTCCATTGGATCTCCTGCCATTCTTCGTCACCCTCCTCACTCCTCTCTCCCTCTCTCTCTCACTCTTCCCACTCAAATTCTTCAGCTTCAGCTATGTCGATGCGACCCAGAACGAACATGAATCACATGGGTGCCACGAAAGGTGGGATTTTCCTCCTTTTGTGTTCTCCCTTCTCTTTTGGCTGTCAACTTCTGATGACGATTCTGGTGAAGTGTAGAGGGCAGTTTTTGTTTTAGACGATTCTGGGTCTGGCAAGATCTTTCATGTCATCCCCAAGAAGCACGGCACTTCCATTTCGCTCTCCGTCTCGTTCCACCTGATCTGGGTCTGGACTCCTTTTCTCTTCTTGCTCATAATGGTGAAGACTCATGGTGGTTTTGGGCTTCATGGTAAGATGTCGAAGCGAACGGGCTTAGCTCTGGCCCATACAGATAGACTTTAAGAGAATTCTCTTTTCATCCGTTCAAATCAATCGTTGCGTGCGATGTATCGTCGTTCAATAAAATAAAATAAAAGAATTATATGAAAGTAAGCATGTCGGCAATTGGTTTGGATGGACAAGAATGTTACCATTTGGGATCGCTTGAAAGAATTCGACGACGTGGCATGAACACAATTTAGCTTCAAATCGACATTCACTTAACCCATTTCGACCCTCTCTTTCTAGAAGCAAATGAAATTTATGTTGTGGTAGGTAAAAGTTTGAGTTAGAATCCTCTGACGCCACGAAAATCTCACCCTCCTATTTTCTGCTTTGTCCAAGACAAGAACTAAATCTTCCATTTGCGCTAGGAGTGAGCATGGTTCGAGGGTAGAACCTGGAGCCTGAGAACCTGACCGGTGGGAACCTGTAGATTCTAGGTTTCAAGGTATGCAAGATAGGTTTCATGTTCCAAAAATTGGGGAACCTGTTTGGACGGGTAGATTCTAGATTTTAGGTAGGCGAAACCTGAAACCTAAAACCTGAAACCTGAATAAGTTTTTTGTATTTTTTCTTGGTCTATGTCTTCACGTGATTATGCGGTGTTTCATGACGTTAAATGATGGGTATATAATCTGGAATCACTAGTTTGAGCTTTCATTTTATGACTTGTTAAATGTTTCATATTCTTCGTGTGTCTAAATATAAGTTATGGTCAATAGATCATAGCAGCAAGTGGTGGTCATTGAAGGTGATGATTCACTGCAATTTTTCAATTAATAATAAAAGGTGGAACCTAGGTAGACCTTGTAAATGACCTTTGCATCTGTGATATGGTAGGTTCCAGATTCCAAAAAATAAAGAACCTATTCTCATGGGCAGGTTCCAAGTAAAACCTGTACGGAATATGGAACCGCTCACTCTTAGTATCGATTCACAGAATAACTGCTCGGTTTAATTGTATTTATTTAAACCGTAATGCCAGTAAAACTAGTCTTTTGTATTCTTTTTGGTGAATAACAAGTTTGTTAAGTACTGTTACATTCATTTTCGTTTTGTTTAACTAAAAATGAAATAATAAAAAAAGAACATGTTAGACCCTAGAACCTGTGATAGGGCAGGTTCTAGGTTTCAGGTTCCGACATGTAGGTTCCAGGTTCCAAAAAATGAGGAACCTATACCTGAGGGTAGGTTTCAGGTTTAGGTGGAACTTATAAGGAATCTGGTACTGCTCACCCCTAATTTGTGCTTCATGAACTTGTACTCTAGAGCTCATCTCTAGAACACGAGCTAGTTTCGTACCCATGCGCTGCTTGAACATATTTGAATGCTCTTCATATACTATGAGCCTGTGCTCGTCGAATTATAGACGAACTGATTGATCTACAGAATCTACCATGTTTTCACTTAAGTAGCTGTGTAAAGACCACTTAGTTTAGCATAAAAAGAGACATCAATGAGTCTATATGATAGTGGTTGCCGGTTGGCATCCTTCCTAGTCAATTTTCATATATTAAGCTCAGAGATTCACGATGTGTAGTTAATCTCTGCTATATTTGGCCCTAAAAAACATCTCTATTAGGGGTGATCGATTTCCGGTCTGGTCCATTAGAATCGATCACTTTTTTTTTCCACTACTTGATGCCATCTTTTCGTGTTGAATTAAGTAATATGTATGCAATGATCCTCAAATTGAAAAAACGAATCAAAAAAGTGCTTCAATTAGTATTTAGTTCACATTTTACTAATTTTTTTGAAGAAATAAAAAGATAAAAAAAGGTATATGTAGTCAGTTCGGTCCGATCCAGTCCCCTTTGGAATCGGGAACCGAACCGTCCGGACACCGGTTCCACTTTTAGGAACTGAAAACCGGACCAACACTCCCAGGAACCAGACCAAACTGGCCAGTCCAGTCTAGTCCGAGTGGTTTCCGGTTTGGACGGTCCATTTTGCACACCCTTAATCTCTATTAAAGGGTAAAAAGCACCAGTCCGTAGAATCTCTAGGCTTCATTCAAGGGTGTTTACATCGATGCATCTAGCATAAACCTCAGTTCTCTACCTAATTAACCCACTTATCAGAAGACACAAGTTTATGATATCTTCTATAGCTCATGAGATTTAAAGAGCGCACAAAACAGTACGTTAATGGATTCATTCTTCATTTGATTCTCTTTGATCCCTTCTATCCATGGTGCCCAGTACAGTAGCAGTAGCCACGCTTTTATCATCTTGCAATTCAGGTTTACTCATTTTTTTTTACATGCTTCATTAACCATTTACCCAGGAAATTACTGTTGATGAAGAAATGTGTGGCATGGTGATTCAAAAGTGAGGGACAAACAAGTCATAGAGAATTCATCCGTAGGAAAGTACCAAACTTCTGGTCCTTTTGTTCGTGAGAAACAAGAAATTAATGGGTATAACCAGAAAATGGAGACCAACGCGAGCGATGAGATAAACGAACAGAGACTTAATAAGATCAGTCGAGGACTCAAGATCGAATGATTAAGTTCAAGGTTGTCGGCCATGATTATATAATAGACGGGTCTTGCGATTCTTCGGCTTATATTGCATCGGCTGCACACAGGGCAAATCAAATGCCTGTGTTTAATGGCATGAAGACCAAAGAGCAGATCTTTCCTGCTCCTCGTCAGCAGTTGCACGGAGACAATTAAAACCAGAGACGGTGGCCAGTGACAAGGATGTGAGTGAGACATCCACCAGAATTTAGAATCCGAGGGGATGAATGAACCACTTTTTTAGGTGGACCACAATGTTGCTGCTGAGAGTTCTAGTGGGAAAAGTTATATTTGGTCCACATTTCCTTTCACTCTAATGCATTCTCTGTAACAATTAGAACAGGAAAAAAAATGATACACCAGACTTGTGAGGATAAGGAAGCAGTACTGTCCTAAAAAGTAAAGAGCACAAACCCATCAAGTTCTTGACTTCAGCACCAAGCATTTTTTTTTCCCTCTGCCATATCTCTCCTCTTTCTCATGAATGCGTGGACAAAATTCTGGACCATTACATGATGGGAATCTGCACTTTCCCCATCACTACTTGAGACTTTTGGGTCCAACCTTTATATTATGGCATGGCAAAAACATTTGCAAGTTCTTTGTCTTCTTTTGGCTTTATGGACATTGAAGGAGGGCTGGAGCTGAAACCTTGGACATCAGTCAAGTGGGAGAAAAACGAAAAGATAATACAAAGCATGAGCTACAATTTCTGTTATTTTTTAAGGTAGTCTTGGTCTTCCATGGTATCATTTTGGAGTTTGGAGTTCAGGTTTTAGTAATCAAATGAAACCTGACATCTAAAAGGATTTGCATTTCTGCAACACAATGTGTAGAACCATGTTCAATCTGTGCACATACATCAGAATAAAAGTCACTCGAATTTCAAGAGGCAAGGCCACTTATGTTCATCACCCTTTGCTATATCAGGAGTTGCTAAGAGTCACAGGAGTCGTTAATGAGGACCTAAAACTCCTCGCCTAACAGATATAGAGATGCAATATGTTGGGGTTCAATGACGATTCATTGGATTTGTTGAGTCAATTGTCTTAACATTAGGGCAAGTCGCTTGCATAGCAAAATGAAAAAGAAGGTTTACATAAAATAAAAATAAAAAAGATTTGATTTGAAGGTAGAAACATCAGCACTTGAAAAAAAAAAAGATTTATTCTTAGTTGAATCACACTTACAGTACTTTGTTTCAGTTTTTAAATTACAAATATTTGGACTTGAAGAGAAAAGAGAAGAACCAGCAAGATTCTCAAGGTGAAGGAGCAATGCCAGGAACCAATGAATCCAGCTGAGCATGCTTACATGGTACGTAGGAGTACGACCACATCCGTGGACATGGCCTTGGGCGTGCGAAGAAATGTGCACACTCGGCTACTGGCCTTTGGAATGGAAGATCAGGAATGCAATTATTTCTCACATTGAGTATGCCCTTCTCGATCAACGCTCTGCACCAAGGCCCGACGTACTGAAAATAGTTGTCCGACAAAGATAAGTTCACCAAGTTCCGATTCAATCCTAGCCAGCAGATTGGCTCCGGCACCATCCCGTAGAGCAAATTCCCTGCGAGGTTCAGTTGCTCCACCTTCTCCAAGCAGAACAATGAGAGCGGAAGCGGGCCTGTCAACAGATTGTTACCCGCATCTAAGACCACAGTCTCGTCCAGCAGACCAATCTCATAAGGCAAACAGCCGCTAAACCGGTTGTTCAAGAACAGGACCTCAGTCAAAGTGGACAGGGCTCTCGCGATGCTTCTCGGGATCGGACCGGTGAATTTGTTGTTGGCTAAGGTGAGGTAGAACACGTGTGTGTTCCCTAGCTCGTATGGCAGCGCCTGATTGAAGCCGTTGTTGTTGAGGAATAGTGCGTAGAGATCCTGAGTAAATATCTGGGCAGGTACGGCCCCGGAGAAGGAATTAAACCTTATATCTAGGAATATGAGCTCGGTCATGCGGAGAACCGCCATAGGAAACGGGCCCGACAACTTGTTGTTACTAAGGTCGAGCTCGTAGAGGTACTGAAGCTTGGCGATGTCCGGGGAAACGGCCCCCGCGAAGTTGTTGGAATTGGCGTGGAAGAGCGCGATGTCCGGGAGCTGATCGAGGAAGCCATCTAGACTCGGAGCACTTAATCCGAAGCCATTGAAGTCTATAGAAGCTAAAGCAATGGCTGATTTATTGTCAGGTGGGTTATCACAGTAAAAGCCTTTGTACTTGCAAATGTCAGCGCCAACCCAGGATTTGGTGATGCCAAGAGGATCTGAGGTGATTGTGGACTTGAACAGCTGGATCACTGGGTATACCAGTGCAAGCCTCTGGTCAACAAAGTTCAGGATCTCTTGTACAATGGGTGCTTGTATTATTGGTCCTAACAGGGGTGCTTGTATAACCGGTCCTAACAATGGAATTTTTGCCTGTGGACATTGAGATTTGTCAGGGTTCTCGAGAAGTTTATCACCGCAATCTTTGTTTGAGCCGCTGCTGCCGCTGCCGATGGAGAGCTCTAGTGTGTCTCTACTGGTGGAAGTTGCTTTTGCGTACAAAATGAGAGAAGTTGGGAGGATATGGAGGAGTGAGAGAATTGCAACAAAAGAGATCTTGGTGATCATTGTATGTTCTTTCTTCTAATTTCAGATGCTATGGAGATTTTGACAGTGAGAAGATGTGGAGAAAATTGAGGTGGGTCTTTCAGAAGGAAACAACCTTAGAATCTGCTAGAATGTGTTCTTATGCCTGCAATGTCCACTACTTCCTTTTAGCTTGTGACTCCCACTGAGAGTGAAACTGATTCCTTCCCACTAACCCACCCCATCATTCACTGCTTCATCTAACCCACTTAGTTTGCTAAAATAGAGCAAATTTTAGTGGCTGTCTGTTTTTTCAAAGCCTCAAAGCGTGCAGAATGTGAACAGCCAAGATGATTCTTTAATAGAAGTCCAACTTTCTGTCTGACCAATCACTTTCCACTTTCTTCCCCCACTGGTCTGTGCTGATTTGCAGGTTTGTCATGAGAGGACACTCGAGAAAATTCAGCAAAATGACAATTTCCATCTCGTTATCTTCTATCCCAGCTCTCTGGAGGCGTGAACGCCGTGGTAAACAAAGTTAATCACAGTACAAAAGCACGAGCGGCCGCATGTGTTTTACAGGACGGTTTGGGCCATTTTTCTCTCAATACGAGTCATTGGTTCCCTTAAAAATCAGTTTAAGCAGTGACTATTCGAAGTACGTCATGTTTCTTGAGCTCGATATGAACTATGATGACCCAGATAACATGAATTTTTTTTTAACATTAACGCAATACGGATTCATTCCGGTAACATTCAATGAGTAGTTGGTGCACCCAAAACTCCTTGGTCGGGGATTATACCTCCATGTTCAACAAGATAGGTCACAGGATAAGCAACAGAAGAAACTTGGCAGCTTCTGTTCAATGCCCTTGTTCTACCGACTCTAAACCGCCGTCGGTCTTCGGCATAAGCGATAAATCAAAGGACTTCGTCAAAAGCTTTGAAACCAATAACCAAAATGGGCCAACCTGAATGCAATTGAATGGTGGATGGGGTTGAATCCGGCCAAACTGATGTTGATTTTGTTGCTTGAAATCGGTGGTTAACTCATCATTTCCTTTGACCCTCCCCCATTTCTGTCATCCTTGCTTAAGTTTCCAAAGAATAAGAGTTGCTACTCCTAGACTTCCGGGGCACTTTGCACCACAATTTCAAATGTGACGACCGAATGGCTGCTTTCGTCCGTCGTGTATATGTTTAATTTTAGAAAAATTGATTCTCTGATAAGAACAAAGTGCAGGTCGATCTGCATAAGAAAAATTTACCCAGATAAAGATTAGGCAAAAAATCTTTGTTTTACACAAAACACATGTAAAAACTATTGCATAAGACAATTCTTTAAAGCATGAGGACGTTCCAAATTAAATATGTATAGATCACATTGTTTTAGAATAGACCCTTTAAATGTAAATTGACAAGAAAAGATTTTATGCATGTGTTACATGGTTGATGTGTGAACAAACCAATAAGTTCTTGAAACTTTACGCATAGTGGCCAACAAAAGATGGGACTTCAGGCCCAATCTTTGTGCGCAATAAAGAAAAACCACCCAAAAAAAATAAAATTGACCCGAAGAATTTCAGATCAGTTAAATCCTGCAATTTGTACATAAGTAGGCAGTATACATATTGGTCAACTAAAAATGAGACTTTAGACATGATCTTTGTCTACAATAAAAATCCACAGAAACATTTTCACCTGAAGAATCGAGATTAGTTAAATTTTGCAATCCTGCAAAATATAGACATGAAAATCCCGGGGTACGTGCTTGTATCGCTTAAAATAATTAGTCAATGAAAAATATTATCATCATCCCAATAATTTATGTCCAAATATTTTCGTGGATAATGATAATATTATCATTATCGCCAATAATTTATGTCCAAATATTTTCGTGGATAATGAAAATATTTTCAGTTCATTCATTTTTGTAAGAGATATAAGAGATTATTTTTAATCATTCATCTTCCGCGAAATAAACGGAGCCTACTTGGCAAAAGTATGAATGGGTGCTATTCATATGGGCTCCTCGGAGTGATGCTCAAGTCATGCCTCCCAGTATTTTTGGTACGCCGGGTTTAGTTGCCTCGATCGAGGGTATCCAGGCAGCTCGAATCGTCGATACATCCTTTCAAATTCAGCACGCGTAAGGTTCGGGCATAGCTTAGGGTCTGCATCTGCATTGGTTACTTGCTGCTGACTCGAGCGGCCTACACAAAACAAGCCACCATCCTAACTTACGAAGCAAACAATTTGGTCACTTCTGTTATTCTACTACCGTTGGTGGATGTATGATTGCTATCGGATGCAATCCGTGGTCATTGAACTTTAATCATTTTGCAGTAACTTTGATTTTTATGGGTAAAAGATTCAAAACTTATGTCCAGCTATGGATCTTTCAATATGATAATGTCTCTGTATAGACCAAGAGGGTGTTTGGAAATTTTTTTTTTCCTCTTTTGTGGCCTCTTGTTTAGGCGTTTCGATGCCACGTTTTGATTTTACTCGTCTCGTGTCGATGTATGAAAATCAAGATGAAGGTAATATATATCATTAAGTTATCTTAGGTGGGCAGAAAAGGAAAAGGGCAGATGGAAAAAAGCGCTCCCCCAATGATGGGTAAAAGGGGAAAAAAAAAACTTGGATCATTTCTCGATTTGTGCGTATCATCCCTGCGCATGGGCCATACTAATCTTCTCTGTATCGTCTAATTTTATCGGATGTCTTCAAAAAGACAACCTTATCACTTGACACGTTAGCTTTTATGGAGAAGAAAGATGTCCTGAGTTTCCGACGCGGGATAAGTATGGAATGACTTACCTGACTTTTCTCTTGTAGGGATTACTTTCCGTCCCACCGGCACGATTGACATAAACACGTGTAAAATGCATTCTCTCTACTAAAACGTGTCGGTCGCATTAGATTAGACTCATCATCATCATCATCAATTATAAGAAGGCGAAGAAGAAAATTGAATGTACCATACAATCTAGCACTAGCACTAGCACAAGCACTAGCACATAAATTCAACTTATAAGTGGCAGAGTGGAACTACTTCATCTTTCAGCATCGATTGCATTGCCACAACCACAGCATCGTGCTTGACGGATGGCCATCGACTCATCATGGGCAATTATAGTTAAACATGACTAAGGAGTGGGACGCAAATCATTCGATGCCATGGACGGCGTAGACCCTTTTCATTTCATTTCATTTCATTTTTCTCGGGCTTTTTTTATGTTATGTCATGCTGTTCTTAACAACTAATTTCGAAGGAAGAAGGTAACGCATTTTCCATCTAATAGGATTTAATACCGGGGAAATTATCAAAAAAGTCATAAACATGTTGTACCGATGCCGATTCAATATTAAATTTTTCAATTTTGGCTAATTTAGTCCTATATAATTTGGCTAAATTAAAAATTTTAGGACTGAATTGGCATTCACATGATAAGCTTTAGAATTTTTTCGGTACTTATTATGGATTTTGAACATGATTGCACCTATAAATCGATGGAAGTGGCGAACTAAATTATGTCATGATTGACAGCCCATGTAAGGAAACTTCATTTTCGGTGTAATCATTCTTTAATATCTAACAAAAAACCAAACGCTCTTACACTTTCTCAGGTAATGATTGGGGAAAAAAATGGCATTATTTCGTCCAAACTCGTACTAAATTTCCAGAATATTTTATCTTGATGACTTGAATTTTTAATGTTAGCATTTGCTAAGAAACGTGAAGTGAAAAAAAATAATCGATCTAACTAATTCCCAAGGAAGAGAACTAACCAAAGAAACTAATGTGGGTGAATAAGTATAAAAAAAATTTGGAAAGAAAGTAATATCGTTGAATGAATATAAAAAAAAAAATTTGGACCATTTCTCGATTTGTGCGTGTCATCCTTGCGCAGGGGCCATGCTAATCTTCTCTGTATCGTTCCAATTTTATCGGATGTCTCCGAAGAGACAAGCTCAATGCCAAAGACATTGGACTTTATAGAGAAGAAAGCTGTCGTGAGTTTCCGATGTGGGACGAAGATGTGATGACTCGCGTGCCTTTCCTCCCGCGAGCACGAGCAGAGGATTGCTTTCCGTCCCACCGACGGGATTGACACGAACACCCGCTCGAAAAACCAAGACACATGAAACGCATTCTCTCCGTCCGTCCACTCGAAGTGTCGGTCACATTAGATTAGTCTCAGTATCATCATCTTTTCTTTGCTTTTGGAAAATTGCATGTAGCAGACAATCCAGCACTAGCACAGAAGAGAAATAACTGAAGAAAGTAACGAAGGATGTGAAATTTGGACCAGGCCCGGAGGGAGAGAGGTTGAAGGTTCGGGGCAGCGGCGACGACACGGCGACAGATGCGCCCGAGGCATAGGCTAGAGTTCGGAGAGACCGTGACTTGGGCCGCGAACAGAGGGATGGGAGGGTGGAGGAGGAGGAGGAGGAGGAATTGGAGATGAGGGGGTCGGGGCGGCCTTCTCTGGGGGCGGCGGGAGGAGAGACGGCGGCAGAGAGACAGTGCGGGAGGAGCGGAGGAGGCGGAGGGTGGCGGTGGGGAGTCGGAGACGGGCGGAGAGAGGGAAGAAGCGGAGGAAACCGAAGGGGGTACGGCCCTACGAGATTACAAGATTGCCGTTACTGGGCACGACGGCAAGGTCAGTCCATCCTCCCGCTAGACAACAAAAGAAAGTTCTGATTATAGTGAACATTGGGCCTCGTGAAAAAGCCCAATTATCTAGCCAATTTGTACAAGTATCCCCTTCACTAAACGTACGTAGTCGTACCATCCTACAGCTAGGGGTGGCAACGGATCGGGTTGGATCGGGTTTTTATGATACTTGACCCAACCCGAAAAACTACGCATATGTGATTGGCCCAACCCGACTTGAGACCCATCCGGAATATAACCCGCACGATAGGATTGGGTCGGGTCAAGTTTGTCCAAGTCGGGTTTCGTGTTTCAGATTTTTATTTTAAGTTAAGGTTAAGTTGTGAGTCTAAGCATCGCGCATCTCACAGCCTACAATGGATATATCCGAGGGTGAGTGCACACGAAGCATACTTTAATCCTCGGATCTGCCGTTTACGGTACCCCGAGACCCGCCAGCCTTATCGGACCCCCCCCCCCCCCACCTCCTCTCCCCCTTAGTCACACAGACCCCAGATAACCACAATCCCAAAATCAAGCACTGCGCAACGCGATTCTCGATCGGATGGATCAATAGAGAGAGAGAGAGAGAGGGGGTGGGGATCCATTTCTAGGGTTTTACAGAGGGCGAGATGATGGAGCGAAGTTATAATCAATAATATGCTGAAACCTTCTGAACGAAGCTACCGCCACGAGAAGACTTGGATCGATGGATGTTGATATTCGATGTTCTGTAATTACGGAGCACGCAATTTCACGAGTCCAATGATGAATTGTCAAAGGCTCTTGGGTGTGCAGTTCCGATGGGCTCGGCTCGAATCAGCTGCTGCTCCTCCTCCTGGCCCCGGAAAAAAAAAATCAAAAATTTGGAAAGAGAAGGAGCAGCCTCATGTGAGAGATGGTGGAGGGGCCAGCACATCAAATGCAAAAAAAAAAGAAAAAAAAAAGTGATAGAGGGGGTCGATGCAAAATTATGTTGCGTAATTGAGTGCACAAATATATGATGAAGCCATTATTGAACGAGTGTCCTCGGCTTGATTGAGAGAGAGAGAGACGGAAAGTTCACGACGCAACCTTTTTTATGCTTTCCCAAATAGAAAAATCGTCCAAAAAAATTTTGAATTAATTGCATTTTTGCCAATTCAATCCTAAACCTTTTAATCGTACCAGTCGAGTCATAAGCATTATCACGTTTTGTCAATTAAGTCTATTTGATCAATTTTGGCCTGAAATCGCCAACATAAATGCCTGTCGCTTGGACGATCAACATTAACGTAAATAATTTTGTAATAATATTTTAATATTTTATATCTTTCTTCTCTTTTTCTTCTTTACATTTTTTTCTTTTTTTTTTTTCTCCTCGTCGACCTGAGGCGAGGGACTCGTGATGTATAGAAATATCGTGCAGAGTTTGGCCCAATGGCCATTCTTCCTACTTGGGAAAAGAGGGAAGTGGCGAGTTCGAATCTCCACCTTCTCGGGGGTTAGGAGTGGGGACGTGTAGTTTTAGATGTGAGTTTCGACTCCCACGCTCTACAAGAAATAGGGTAAAAATCTGAAAGTGAGTTGAGATTTAGAGGACGACATATAAAAAAAAAAAGTATGCCAAAAATCACGCGCGTAACTTTTAAGGGACAACCCCCGAGGAATAGTCGAGGTGCGCGCAAGCTGGCCCGAACACCTCGGTTACCAAAAAAAAAAAAAAACTTTTAAGGGACAGGACAAGATAGTTTTCCTAATCGAAACACGACAACAAAACTTTAGTGATTCTCGCAATTGGCCACCCCTTCGTTTCGTCCTCACGAGTTAGCCGGATGATAAGGACAGCTTGATGCCTCCCACGAGATATTATTTACTAATACAAAGACGTGCGAGATTCCAACTCTTTTGCCAGAATACAACCTACCAAGACCTTTGACTTTCTACAGATCAATGCGCCTGTTTAAGACCAAGTTCTTGCGTCTGGTTTTTTTTACACGAGAAATTCCATGTATCCTTTCTCGTTACGCAAGGTCAGGTTCAATGACTTATAATAATTAAGCTGTAATGAATATGAATTCGACGGTGCGCATCGTCGGGCTTCGGTAGGCCCGGACTCATCCGATTTGCATACTGCGAAGTGCATTGCAAGTATGTCGAGGGCATAGAGCGAGAGGCGAGATACCGATGCGTGCTCGCACCCGTGAATTCCATAGACGCGTGCAATCATCTCCGTAATCTTCATTCCGAGCATTTTCCAAATGATAAGAGAAGCGTGTTTATGTTATTTGTTGCCTTAACAATCGAGGGGATCAAATACCAAACATGGTCAAAATTTGGATAATGACTTATTATTATCACGGCGAACCTTACATTGTTTTTCACATATCTTATTTGAAAAGCGAAAGAAAGGAAAATACAGATTCGTCTAGATACACTTTTTCTAAGACCGGAATCACCGGTCATGGAAAACCCTAATATAGTTTTTCCTATAATTTCCATACTCGAATACTATTTTAAATATCGACTAAAAAATGAAACGTTGATATTTTTCTGAAAAAGCACATACAAAAAGGCTCCCACGTTATCGGGGGAACGGAGGTAAGTTTTTGTTTTTTTTGTGGTCGAAAAACGGAGGATGGTTTGGGAGACGAAAATCTTTATTGTATTTTTCTCCAACCCTCTTTGACAATTGACATTTTCCACATTTTTTTTTTTAGGGCCACACAATTTTTTCCAGCTTATTCACAATAGGGTAAAAGCATTTTTTTTTGGAAAATAACATAAACGATCCCTGAACTTTAGCCGGATGTGCATTATGATTTATGAACTTTTAATTTGTTCAATGTAATCCCTGAACTTTAGCTCAATGTGTAATGTGGTCTTTAAACTTTTAATTTATTCAATACGGTTTCTAGACTTTGAGTTAAAGTTTAGAGATCAAATTACACATTTAATTAAAATTTAGGGATTATATTAAATAAATTAAAAATTTTATGAACTAAATTTGTACGATAGGTCAAAATTCGGAAAATATTTATATCATTATCTTTTCTTTTCTTTTTTTGTTATTAGTAATCGGTAAAAGGTAAGGTGCAATAGCGTCTGGGTAACGTCGATGTGATGTTGCGATTGATAGTAACTCGCGATTAAATTAATAATAATTATTATTATTATAATAAAGAGGTCACGGTCAAGTGGCCATGATAGAATTGTCCCTTCTTCATCAATGATAATTACTACGACAGACATTTTCATAATCGCCAAAAAAGATTCATTGGAACCCGTCGTGTGGGACCCGCCCCCAAACCCTAAGGCTGTGATTCCAATGGAGTATCATTGCCCACGTATGAGTTCGTCCATGCGCTGTTTTTGTCCGCACTTTTCCGTCTTCGCTTTTTTTTTTTTTTTTTTTTTTTTGATAATAACACAAACAGTCGTTGAACTTTAGCTCAATATGCAATTTAGTCCCTGAAATTTTAATTTATTCAATATAGTCCTTGAACTTTAGCTTAATATTTATTGTGGTCCCTGAACTTTTAATTTGTTCGATATGGTCCCTGAACTTTTGGTACATGTTCAATTTAGTCCATGAACTATATGAAAATATATAATATACTCCCTGAACTTAGATTAATGGAAAGACTACATTGAATATTTTTATAAAGTTCAAAGATTATATTGAACATATACCAAAAGTTCAGAGACCATATTGAACAAATTGAAAGTTCAGGAACCACATTGAATATTGGGTTAAAGTTCAGGGACTACATTGAACAAATTAAAAGTTCAGGGACTAAATTGCACATTGAGTCAAAGTTCAAGAACTGTTTGTGTCATTTTCTCTCTCTCTTTTTTTTTGTTTTTCTTACTTTTTCCCACCCTTTGTGGAGTTATATATGGCTTTTTAACCTCTCTCATGTCCACAAATGTGATTGCAGTGTAGAGATGTCAAAGAGCCGAACTTTAAATTAGGATCATACTCAAATTATTAGACTACTTATATATTAAATGGCGCATCCATCGACCAGCTTAAACTTTTAGAACAGTTAGCAGCAGTCTCACAAAATGTCTCATGATATCATATCAGGATATCTCGAACTTAAATTTCTCCGGAACTTGTATATAACTCTCCGTAATACATTTCAATGTTGTATTCTTACACCAAAATCCAACCCACCTATGAGAGGGAGGGGGTTGGCACGATGCCGGGTCGAGAACTCCGATTGAATTGGGCGAAAGAAAAAAGTTACGCCCGATCAATTGTTGATCAAATCTTTTTGCCCGCGATGGAAAAAAAACTTTGGGACTAGGTGGTTGAGGGGACCGAGGGCAATCGGTCGGCGAAATTCCATTCCGACGGTGCTTATCATTCATCTCCTCCGCTTGAAACGTTTCATTTTTTCGTAGGATCGAAGAGATACATATGCATCGCCAGCTCCGCTCCAAATGCTTCGTATTTTTAAATTTCTTTTGGGCCGACGACCCGAATGCAAAATTTTTTTTTTTTTTTTTTCTGGGGAGGGACAAAAGATGGGAGTTAGCCGATTGATTTACCAAAAGGATCGAGATGGGTAGTTCAATTCACTGCTTTGGGAGGATTTCATATCGTCCCGTGCTGGGGCAATGGCAGGAGAAGGGAAGCCCGACCAATTAAGGATTTTTTAATGAGAAACAAACGAAAGAGAGGGGGGGCCGACGAGGAGGAGGAGGGCCCCCCGGCTTTCGTCGGTCCCACCCTTTTTCGGACAGCGACTGGCGACGGAATAATTGACTCCCACCGCGAAAAGTTAACCCCCCTTTGAGCGCGGGCCCCGCCAACCAAGGCGACGTTTATCGCGATCGCATGCGGGGGCGTAAACCCTTTCCGGAGTTTCACTTTGAAATAATTAATAATAATAATAATCGATTTCCGTAAAAAGTTGGCCCAATTCCAAAAAAAACCCTCAACTTTATACTTTGTCCCAAATATATCATGAACTTTTTTTTATCTCAAGAAAAATCACAAACTTTTATCTAAGTCCCAAATCTGCCCTCCCATTATAAATCCGTCCAATTAACGTCAGAAAAAAAAAAACAGAGAACGGGCAGCTGCGGCGGTGGCCAAGCCTTCACCGGTGGCCGCCGCCACAGCCGCCGGGAAGGAGCGGCGGTCCTCACCTGGGCCTTCCCGAAGGCCGGCGACCCTCGCCGGCCCTGGGTGAGCCGTCGGCGAGGATGTGCAGCCCCCGATCTGGGGCGAGGGTCGCGCCCTCCCCCGATCTGGGGCGAGGGTCGCCGCCCGGGGCCGGCGAGGGTCACCGACCTTCGGGAAGGCTCAGGCGAGGGCCGCCGCTCCTTCCCGGCGGCGGCCACCGGCGAAGGCTTGGCCACCGCTACAGCTGCCCGTTCTCTGTTTTTTTTTTCTGACGTTAATTGGACGGATTTATAATGGGACGGCAGATTTGGGACTTAAATAAAAGTTTGTGATTTTTCTTGAGATAAAAAAAAGTTCAGGATATATTTGGGACAAAGTATAAAGTTGAGGGTTTTTTTTGGAATTGGGCCGTAAAAAGTTGAGAGAAACATGCCAGGTGAATTAATAGGTTGAAATTAGGGACGTGCAAATGAACGGGGAATCGTCGGTAAATACCGGTTCGATTTCTGGTTCTAGGGGTGAAACCATCCACCCGCCTATTTAGACTGGACCGGTAATATGTATAATTAATCTTTAATATGAAGCTCAACGCCCATCAACTAAGTGTTCGTTTCGTCTTACTCTCATCTTGTTTGAGTCGTCTCTCTATCTCTTACTCATGGTCTCGACTCTCAAGCTCAACATCCATCGACTCACGACCTTGACTTTTAACTCCCATCAACTCACGGCCCCACCTCCAACCGTTCATCGCCTTCCTCTCTCGCTCTCGATTACCTTCATTTACTTGAATGGAACCGGTTCTATGGACTCATCCGAAGATCGGACCGCACGGTCCGGTCGGATTCCCGAGTGGGTTTATGGAACCAACGGGAGATTTCAATTTTTCGGAATCGTTCCTTAGTGGGCAGTTTTCGGTTCCATGGTGGGAACCGCTCACCTGAACCATGCTCATCCCTAGTTGAAATATCTTTAACTGAAGCTTGGGGCCCGTTTGTTCGAAGGAAATCTTTTTTTTGGAAAATTGTTTTCCGACTTTCCGATGTTTGAATAACGAGAAACTAATCGATATTTGGAAAATATTTTCCATGGACCGAAAATAACGAGCTTAGATTGGGGGATCACAACTTCTCCTCCAAACAAAAGGGAAATCATTTCCCCTAAAGCTCCAAACAAATGAAAACAAGACAATTTTCTTTGAGAATGATTCCCATAAAAAATAATTTCCTTTATCATGAAATTTTCAGCGAAACAAATTCACTAATTTAAATTTTTAAATCGAATTCAAACTTGGGCTGAAAGATCTCGCTTTGAAAATACAGCACGATTGGAAGATTGTGTCTGCAGATTTATTCATATGAATTACGGTAAATTATGCGATTGTAACATGTAAAAGTACAATCGCGCAGACTACGCTCGCGCAGCTACGTGGTTATAATATTTTCCCGAGCACGACCTCATCTCCAATTAGAAAAGAATCGAACTAAATCTAACTAAGTCATTTATGACCAAAAAATTTAAATGGAAAATAAAGAAAAAACTAAAAATCCAAGTAGTCTTCAAATCGACTTTGAACGGCTACTATGAATACGGCCACATTTTTAAAAAAAGTTCACGCGATTGGAAAAAGGAAAGAAATATCTAAAAATGCCCAAAAAAAAAAGAAAAAGAAAGAAAGAGGAGAACCCTCACGCGCCCCCCCACCGCGCGTGAGGTCTCTCTCCCCCTCCAGCCAATCACGTCTCGCCTCTGCGATTCCTCTCCTTCGTCCACTGCCATTTCCATTCCATTACAATTTCCCCCTATATTCTCTCTCTCTCTCTCTCTCTCCTTTCTCTCTCTACATCGCCTTCTATAAAGCCACGCTCCCCCCCCCCCCCCTTCTCTCTCCTCCATTTTCTCTCTCTCTCTCTCTCTCTCTCTCTACCTCCTCTGATTCTCCCGATCCGATACAGCCAAGGCCAAGGAAGATGGATCCCAGATCGCCGCCGCCGCCGGCCGCCGGCGCCACCGCCGCCCTCGCCCTCGCCCTCGCCCTCGCGCTGCTCCTGGCGATCGCCTCCGCCGCCCTCGACATGTCCATCGTCAGCTACGACCGGGCCCACGGCGACCGGGGGAGGACCGACGACGAGGTGATGGCGGCCTACGAGAGCTGGCTGGCCAAGCACGGCAAGGCCTACAACGCCCTGGGCGAGAAGGAGAGGCGCTTCCAGGTCTTCAAGGACAACCTCCGGTTCATCGACGACCACAACAACGCCGCCGACGACGGGAACCGGACCTTCAGGGTCGGCCTCAACCGGTTCGCCGATCTCACCAACGAGGAGTACCGGTCCATGTACCTGGGCGCCAAGATGGATCGGTCGAGGCGGCGGCTCGGGAAGGCCCGCAGCGATCGCTACGCCGTGGTCGCCGGGGAGGAGCTGCCGGCGTCGGTCGATTGGAGGAAGGAAGGCGCCGTTGTCGACGTCAAGGACCAGGGAAGTTGTGGTGAGTTTTTTCTCCTGATAAAACATATATAAATAATTGTTTCCTTTCATTTTTGTACCGCTTCTGATATTTTTAGTGGTTTTATTTGATATTTTTGCGCGGAATAGAGATTATTGTTCTTATGTTGACGATATCTTTGTATGATGCATCCGTGATGATATTAAACCAAAAGAAAAAGGAGGAATTTTGATGTTGTGGTCAAGGATGTGGTTGCTGGTAATTTGCTATTTCACTTTGTGGGGGAAAAAAGAAATCGATTCTTGCGTTAAGAATTAGCCCGTTTTGCTCGTTAGGAAGTTTCGTGCCTTCGTTTGTCTGATGGTGACTTTCTTCGTTTTGGACCGATTTCCATGGTTGTTGCGTTCTGTTTTTGTTGGGGGTGATCCCATGATTTGCATCCTTTGATGGACTTCCATGCGGTCCATTCGTGATAATCTGTCAGCTGTTATTCATATGCTTGGGCTTGCTTTGTATGGATCGTGTAGAAGATGCATACTCTATTTTCAATGATAGCATGAATTGCTAAGAGAGGATACGCACGGGCCCAAAAAAAAAAATCTTTTTTGTTTGCTTTTTTGCTAGAAATTTAGAATGCATATGAAGATATAGTAATGACTGCAAATCTTTTTGCCCAAAAATTAAAATGCCATTCGTGACAAGCTTCTCTGAAGTCACTGTTAATTGATTTGAAGTGAAAATGGTACTTTACTTGGAAAAAAAGAAAGCCGGTCAATATAATTTTTTTTTGTTTTGACGCAATTGTAGCAGCTAGTGCAAGAGGATTTTGGGAAGAAAAAGTGGTCTATATATATATTTTTAATAGTTTCCTCAACTCAAAGCAATCATCATCACCTGTTATTAAATTCATTCTCAAAGAATTTCTTTTGGGAGAATTTCTGTCAATTGTTAAATGATTTTTTTCTGACTGAAGGGAGTTGCTGGGCGTTCTCTACCATTGCTGCTGTGGAGGGGATAAACAAGATTGTTACTGGTGATTTGATCTCTCTGTCCGAGCAGGAACTTGTGGACTGCGATACATCCTACAATGAAGGATGTAATGGCGGGCTCATGGATTATGCCTTCGAATTCATTATCAACAACGGAGGCATTGATAGCGAGGAAGATTATCCCTATAGAGCTGTAGATAGTACTTGTGACCAATACAGGGTTTGTGTCACAATTAATCATCTAAATGTATAGTAGGCATAATAATGACCACGAAGGTGATAACATGTCATTCCCTTTATGCCAACTTTTGCAGAAGAACGCAAAGGTCGTGACGATCGACGATTATGAAGATGTCCCAGAGAATGATGAGAAAGCATTGCAAAAGGCAGTTGCTAATCAACCAGTGAGTGTGGCCATAGAAGCAGGAGGCCGGGAATTCCAGTTTTACGATTCGGTAATATTCCTACTTTACCTTTGACCAAAAAAAAACATATATTCCTACTTTACGGTCTTAGTTCCTTAGTTGGTCCATCAATAAAATATCGCATGTTGAATCACAAGAAAAGCTTTGGCATATCCATCAACATGGAGGAGTGTTACTCGCACTTTCACTCTAGATTTCAACTATTTCTTCTGCAGCTAGAGTGTCAACCATGCTGCTTACCTGAAAATTCGTCACATAGAGGAATTGATGAGCTTCTTCGGAGCAATGATTTTTCTGGCTGATGAGCCCTTGTTTTTTTTTTTTTGGTCAGATATAGCCATTGTTTGATGAGTTCCTTAGTTACTCACGGAAACTTTTATTTTTCAAATTGTGAGAGCTACTTTGGAATGTTACTGTTAAACACAAATTCTTGGAGGAGGCGCAGATGATTCTCAAAAGGCTTATGGCCCTAACTGTGCCCTCTGACTTTTACAGGGTGTATTTACTGGCAAATGTGGGACAGCTCTGGATCACGGGGTCACCGCTGTCGGATATGGCACAGAAAACGGAGTTGATTACTGGATAGTGAAGAACTCATGGGGTGATAGCTGGGGAGAGCAAGGCTACATCAGAATGGCACGTAATGTGGTTGGTACCCCCACTGGCAAATGTGGTATAGTGATGGAGGCCTCGTATCCTGTCAAAAGTGGCCAAAATCCTCCCAATCCCGGCCCGTCTCCACCATCTCCAGTGAAGCCCCCAACTGTCTGCGACAGTTACTACTCTTGTCCCGAGAGCACCACCTGCTGCTGCGTCTATGAGTATGCAAACTACTGCTTTGCCTGGGGATGCTGCCCTCTCGAGGCAGCCACCTGCTGTGAAGACCACTATAGTTGCTGTCCTCATGACTTCCCGGTCTGCAATGTAAACGCAGGCACCTGCCAAATGGTACGCACAACCGACTAAATTCAATTTCATCACGAATGGCTTTTTGAAATTGGACATGCATCTGACTTAACCTTGAACATATTAAAGTTAATTCAACGTGGTTTCTTCCTTTCTAATTTTTTTTTGTGCAACAGAGCAAGAACAATCCTTTAGGAGTCAAGGCATTGAAGCGCACTCCTGCTAAATTTCACTGGGCTTTTGGAAGCGATGGACAGAAGAGCAGTGCGTGAAAAAAAACTTGGATCTGGTATGCTGTGGGTGGAGATTCTTCAGGGGAATTGAGAAAATCGCAGCAACTCATATTCTCCTCCTCATTCTCATTTAACTGCAGATCCAGAGAACCCCTTTCTTAAGATGTTCGTAAAGTATGTCTAGGCACCGGTTCTGTAAATAGACTTCTTATTTTATGCGGCATGAGATACACAGACTTTGCTGCTGCAAGTTTCTGGAACATCCTCTCTAAATCCAGGCTTCATTCAGAAAGGGGTTCTCGAATAGCTCCCCTATTTCAATAGAATTTGAATGCTTTGTTTCTCTCCATGCCTCTGGTTTTTCTGTTCTTTGGTCGGTTAATTTCATTTTATGACGTGAAAGCAGCTTTACTCTGTTTAATCTCTTCTGGCCTGTCTTGAACGGATTGCGACCGTTGGTTGAAACTACTCTTTAGAGAGATGACGCATTCCTTTTCTGAGAATAAAAATCATTGTGAGTTGCTGATGGTTTAAAATCGAGTGCTTGAGGAGAAAACAAGCATACATATTACTAATAGTGGGGGTGCCAGTCTCAGGTCCACCTACCCTCTTGAGCAAAGTATGCCCGTTCTTTTAAGTTGATTCCTGCTTTCCAAATCCTTACAAAGATTCGACCAAAATTTGTAGGTGTGAGCATGATTTCAGGGTAGAATCTGGAACCTAAAAATCTGACCGATGAGCACTTGTAGGTTTCGGGTTCTATGGTATGCAGGGAATGTTTCAAGTTTCATCTGAAACCTTAAACAAGTTATGTATTTTTTCTTGATCTATGTCTTCGCGTGATTCTGTGATGTTCCATTGCATTAGATGATGAGTGTATAATTTAAAATCACAAGTTTAAGCTTTCATTTTATGACTTGTTAATGTTTCATATTTTTCGTGTGTCTAAATATAAGTTATGGTCAGTAAATCATAGCAGCAAGTGGTGGTCATTAAAAGTGATAATTCACTATAATTGTTCAATTAATAATAATATAGGTGGAATTTGGGTAAATCTTGAAACCGACCTTAGAGCTTGTGATAGGGTAGGTTTCACGTTTCGACGTGTGGGTTTCAGGTTCCAAAAATTGAGGAATTATTGGAACATGTAAGGAACCTAAAACCGCCCACCTCTAAAAATTTGCTGCTGCAGTATATTATAATCCCCCGTATGTATTGATAGATCTGAGACACTCTTCTTAGAAAGCCTATCCGCCGTGCTGATTCTTGTCCCCATCCATACATAAGATCAATGTGATGTGGTCTACTGAAGATCATGTCGCGAAGGGGAGTGGAGAGGTAACTTGGTCTGATTATGTAGCATGTATGCCTAAATGAACTTCAGCCTGACTACCGAACTGGACACCAGTTCGGACATGTTATTTTCCGACCTAATCACGCTGCATCTATGTCTCAAAACATGAATCGCAGGTCTCTCTCTCTCTCTCGAATTCGTTCAAGAGGGGAAAAAAAATCAAGTGGTTGAGAACGGGGACCATTCGGTGTGTCCCCGGCAAGTTCTCAAATGTTGCACACTACTTCATCCTATTGACAATTTGCTGTGTCCTTTTCCTATCAGTATGTTTAGGGGGACCATCACGTAATGGTGGTGGTCTTGCATCCCACAACGATAGGGATGGAACAAAAGGGAATTGGGCCAATCCAGTTGTCCGACTCAACCCTGGACTGTCGTACGATCTACCGCGAGATTAGCTGATCGTGATCCAGAACAAATAGGTGCTAAATCGAGCTAAGGCGCCGAAGTTTGTCATACAGTATGCAGCCTTCGGTACGTACCGGCAGCATTATTTTGGCTTCACAGAAACATTCTCTGCGTACGTACATAATGCCTGAGCTTATCATATAAAACTGTACTTTTCATTTTTATAAACAGACGGATAGCTGATGCATAACTGCTAATGTTCTACCAACTGACCGCTCGGAACCAGAAAGTGCTCGGTCTGTGTCTGCTTCATAATTACGTGGCGTTTTGGCTTTCCTAATTAATTAAGATTCGGCGACCGTTCTCCATTCCTAACAGGCTCAAATCCTAGTCCAACAAGTGCCTGATCTTTCACGTCGAGTTCACAGTTTGGGGACGTTGGCTTTTCTTCACTAAAAGCATCCAGGTGACATGAAGGCTCCACTTTCACATCACCAATCTGAACTCGGTTTTCATTCGCTTTTGCTCTCTGGCACCCATTGCCGATGCTGTTCCTGTCAATGATAGCTGGATCGGGAGGTTCGATGGGGTTGTAATGCGGGATCATGGGAGGTAGCTTCGACAGAAGAGGCGGAATCGGCCACATGGATGGGCCCTGGATGCTGTATTGCGGGGTGTTCCAACCAAGATTGATGGACTTGACCGGGCAACTCTCCGGTGCTTCCTCAAACAACCTTTTGGCGCCAATGAATTGGCGTTTCTCGTCCTCCAAGTAAAATGTCTCATGGTGTTCGGTGATGGAGATATGGGATTTACGGAGGTGGGGATCTTGGAGAGGTAGATATGGTCTCTGTATCGTGAAAACGCCGGGAATGCTTTGGAGATAGCTGAATTTTCTCTGTATGCCAATCACCAAATTAAGATCTTCCGCTATCTGGAGAAATAAATGACCACATTTGACAATGATCAAGAGGAAAGGCACAGAGAAAAAGAGAAGGAAGTTAAGAGGAAGACCTTATCCAATGATCCAAGCTGAACTATGCCTTCTTGTACCGAAATAATGGCAATTGTCTGCAAATCAAACGATTTAGCTGCAGGTGCATTTGTGAAGGAAAAAAGAAAAGCTGGGCTTGTTTTGCTTTTTAAGTCTGGGAAACACCGACCTGAATGCCGGTATTGAACTGAACCTCCCATGCCTTTGGTTGCTGCAATGTAGGAAGTAAACTTTCATGCAAATGAAGGTTGAAGGAGAACTATTGAAACTGAGACTTGCATCTACTGTGGCTACTCTAAAACAGTGAAGTTGCGTTACTTGTCTTACAGGCTCCATTGACATGTTCCACGAGGAGATGAAGTTTGGATCACTCTCATTCCCTGTGTCTCTCGACACCCATTTGTGACTGTTATCTGCTGCCACTTTCCCAACCAATCTGCAACAAGAAGGGGAAGAAATCATTCTTTCTTGCCTCAGAAAGAGACGGAAGAAGCTGACAATGCGAGGGGAGTTTGATTAAAGTCTGACCCTTCACCATAACTGTAGACCTCATGAGACATTTTGAAGAAGACTTCTGGTCCAAACCTTCCCTTCATGTATCCACCTCCCACCTTCTCACACTCGCAGAAATCACAGAACCCATCTTCCCAAACAAGAATCCTGATTCAGAAACCAAATCAAAAACTCAAAAATTGATGGGAGATCAGAAGAGGGTCTTTCACTTCTTTTGAGTCACTCAACCACATCACGGTTACCAGTTTCTTTTGTTCCCTTTGGCTCTGTCAATTGCACCCCCTCCAAATTCCCACCTGCAACAGAGCAACATGGATCAAGAAACAGCGAAATGTACCGAACTTAACGCAACAAAAACTGATGATTAGTGTGTGCATCTTTACTTTGGTGGAGGGTAGTTCCGAGGCAAGATTCTCCAAAAAACAGCATAAACCCACTTGGAGGAATTAGAAGGATCTGATGAATATGAACATATGCTCCTCAATGTGTGCTGCAGCAGACAATTCAGCATTGGAAGTCCACCATCCATTCTCACTCTGCGTGTCAGAGAGATAGAGAGAGAGAGAGAGAGAGAGAGGAGGTACAATTGGAGAGCTCACATTGTACTTTGGCTTTATTGTTCCCTTAAAATGAAAATTACAGAGGCTAGTGCATATGTAAAAAAGACTGTATTCCTTCACATAAAATACACAATATACTAACTTTTCAGTCAAATTCTTAGTTCAAGACATGTCACGCAGTAATTCAGGATGCCACCTATATATATATTACGTGAAGTGTTTTTCTTTTCTTGGGGAATAACGGCGAAACTAAACTGATCTTATTTCAAAATACGAAATCCCTGGACAATTGATGTTATCTGGCGCATCTAGATGAATCAGCTGACTTGATATTCTTTCCCCAGTCTTGTGGCCCCATGCACTTGAAACTGAGTGTTTGGAAACACTGAACTTCAACTAGCCTCGGTTATTATTGACCAGTACCTTCTTTTTCAATCAAATGGGAGTTAAGGGTTCAACGAAGTACATCGCTTAATTGACAAACCGGACCTCTTTTTCCTATCTGTCTGTTCTAGATCAAAGACTATTCTTGAGTACGACGTGGGAAGAAGCTTCGGCATGTCTTCGTGCGTGTCATTTTGTGTGTCGACCCAGTTCTGTTTGAACCAGGAATCAGGATGTGGTGCGATGTTGCCATGGAGAATTGTCAACCCGCTTTCCCCGGCGTCAATTGATGACAGTTGGTTCACAAGATCATCTCACATGTTTGTCAAACTTCCTTCTTGTAATCTGTGCATGTTCTATCACAAAATTAGTATTCAAAGAGTTCACTTGACTTATTATTATACTTGAGAAAATATTGCAAAATTGTTGGGATGTTACATTCAATTTTCCACGTCGTTATCTCGGCGAGTATAACATGCGGACCAATTGATTTGGCATGGAGCCGGACTAAAGCGAAACGATACACCTCGGGTCTAGGGACTAGAGTGCAATGTGCGGTGAAATTCAGTGGCCGGAAAAATAACATTGAGCTAAGAAGAGAGGACATTGGAATGATGATGATGAGGGTTTCTGTTTCCGGCCAATGCAAAGTTGGAGACACGGCAAAGGGAGGGACGTCTTACTTGAGAATGATTCTATTCGCACACATCACAATTGCCTCAGCTTTGCACTGTCTCATCCACCACGTTTGGCTCATTTATCATCTCATCCTATACCTAAATGGTGAGATAGCTAGAGCAAGCAGTACATGGCTATATCAAGCACTGCCACAACCACTAACAACATATCAATGTCGCATATAATGGAGCTGATCTAATGAGAGCTACCCTATTCCCTAATTTTTCGTTAACCTGGGGAACGAGTGCAGAGGCATGACGACTTGAAAGTTCAGGGAATAACGCTGCAAGCCTCGTATAAGCCGGTGAAGTCCAAGAATTTGGCTTGAACAGGTTACTCTGATTTTGAGCAGTTTGCGTAGAATTGGTGAGATTCCCAGAAACCTTGACAAACTAGGCCAACCATCGGGGTGAATCCTTTAATTTATTAGTTGCCTATGTCTCGACTCTATTTGTCTATCAGGCATATGTTAGTGGTGCCGAATTACGGTCTCATGATATTTCGAGAGAGGATCCTAC